ATCTTAAGTTTTAAGACTCAAATAACAATTAACCTAATGAGTCCTGGCAAGTTTTGCTTAGTGGTTAGAGCGTCAACACATGGAGTGAGGGGTCATGGGTTCAATTACAGTTAATGCATGTACCTGGGTTGCAGGTTCAAGTGCCAGGCCTGGTCAGGGTTGTGCAGGAGGCAGCCAGTTGATGTGCCTCTCTCACATTGCTGTTTCTCTCTCTCCCCCACCTCCCTCCCTTCCACTCTCTCAAAAAAAAAAAAAAAAAAAAAAAACAATGGAAAAATACCCTTGGGTGAAGATTAACAAAACAAAACAAAAATTAACCTAATGAGTTAAACCTTTGGCGGTTCAATTTTCATTACCCCAAATGTTTACAGTGGTGCCTGTTAACCCCTGAATGTGCTTCTGTCATGCATAACTGCCTTGGTCAGGGCTCCCAGGTGCAGATAAAAGCAATCACCCTCTGCATGGTTTAAGCAGAAGGCAGTTTGCTCAAGAACACAGATAACACATAGTGGCAGTGGGAGGGCAGAGGGAGCAGGCTGACAGCTACATTTCTAGAAACATCAGCCAGAACCACACCACTGAAACCACCTGCTGCCACTGCCCCAGGGCCATGCTGTTTCTTATGACACCTGTGTTAGCAAAAGGGAGGCCCTGGGTCTACTCTGTTTTTTCACATAGCTCACTCTGAAGGCAAAGTCTTGGATGGGTGGAGCTGACTGGTGGAACCCAGGTCAGATACTGGCACCCCGATGTAAGGGAAGCAGGAAATGTAGGGTTTGTTTATGGTCTGTTTGTTTTTACCTATCTGGGGAAAATAGGACCCACAGTTTAGAGATCTACTACAATTGTAGGGAGGTTGTCTAAAGATGCTGGGCAGCAAGAAATGACAGGTGTCAGAATGATAATGTCTCATATAGCAATATAGCAGCAGGCAAACTGTGCATACTGGCCTCGACTGTTAAAGAAAATGTGTAGCAAAAAGATGGAAATCCACAGAAATGTTAGTGCTGATTATTTCTATGGCAAATTGTGGGTAATATTTTCCTTATGTTTTGTTTTCAAAAATTTCTACAATGAAACTATATTTCCTTATAAATTAGGGGGGAAAATGACAGCTTACCATTTGCAAAAGCATTCATTAAAATAATTGCAGCCCTGCTAGACGGATGAAAGCTCTATCTTAAAAGGCCTGAGCAGATTTAATCATCTTTCTGTTGAACAAGTGAATGCTGAATCCAAAAGAAAAAAAAAATAAAACAAGCAAAAAAGTACTCTCTGTTTAAGCTGAGGTTAAAATCTGTTTCCTGTGGCATTGTCCTCAGCGGTAGCAGCAATCACATTAGAATCATAAATCAGGAGGGCCTCAGTCACCATCTACCCTAACTTTATAGCATTCATCCCAATCTTGAGTTTTTTAAAAAACACAACCATATATACACACACACATTTGTGCATACTTATCTGTTTAATATCTGTCTTCCCCAGGAGACTTAAGGGCAGGGACCATGAATCCCCAGTGCCCACTACACCATAGACACATAGGACATTCTTACTATATACTTGCAATGCGTGGTTGTCGATGGTGAAATCACAAGGGAAGAGAACATAACTAGTGGTCTCTAGAGTAACTGGGAAGTCTTCCAGTCCCACCAGCTGACTGGCCCTCACTGAGATGGTTGTGGCTGCATAGGACATCTTACTGCTACTTTCTGCAATCCTCACTGGAGATTCTAGAGCTCTTTTAGTTCCATCAGCTCATTTTCTCCTTGAAGACCTTTTTTCACTCCTTCCCCCTCCTGAACACCAGAAAACACGAGGTTCCTGCTATTTTCTATGGCCTACTTTGGAAAGAGCGCAGGTCTTCTGCTCTTAGGTTCCACTATTCACCTGTGAGTTCTATTCCTATCCTGCTCTCTGAACCTGGCCTAGGGGTCATGAGCTCTTTTCAAGGGTTTGGTAGTACCTAGCTTTCTTGCTTCCCTTCATCTGGTCCAGAGGGTCTCTTTCTCGCCTGGGGGCAGGGAGGACACTCATCCACTGAGTGTTCCTCCATGTCTTTTCTCTTTGGCCTCAGTCTCTCCACTGGAAAATCAAAAGCTGGGGATTTGACTCATATTCCCTATAGTTTCTGAAGCTACCTTTTTCCATATGCGGCTTCATCAATGGGGAAAATGTGAAAGGATATAAGGAAATTGGGGGAAAACAACCCTTGGTTAACATCTCAAAAATATCATCTGTCCTATTTGTATGACAGGTGGAATGAAATTAGCTATAGTTATCCCACATTTCCAAAATCACTCTCCAAAGTTTTTCAGTTCATTACCGATTCTAGAAAGAAAGAAGCATGACACTCAGGAGAGCGAACAGAAAGTTTGCAAACTGAGGAGTCTGACAGGATGCTCGTTTTTACTGCTGTCATAAAGTTTCTCCCAAACAGTTGAGAGTCTGATAAAATAAACATCTGTCATGTTATTTAGGAGTGGGTGACAGGCTGAGAGTCACTGAGCAGGTGACAAGCTGTCCTTGACTTGGTAAGTCTCCATGCTTTCTTTGGCTGATACGGATCTCATATTAAGTGATATGCAATGAGAGCTCCCTCTGTCAGTTCAGTGACACAATTTTAGGTAAGGAAGGAAGGTAGAATGTCTCCATGTCAGCCAGAGATGATTGTATTAGATATCACCTGTCTTAGTAGTCCTACCTTCATCTGCTAAGCTGTGGGCAAGTGAGATTGTACGCTCTATCTGCAGGCTGCCAGACAAGGCTCAGGTAACCACATGTAAAATGCCATGCTCTGTTGCACAGTGGTTGATGTTTGCAAGGAAAACTAAGTATCTTGAAGCTTTTTATAGCATCTGTTCCTTCACAGCAAGAGAATATTACAAGTTTGTGTAAGGCTTTATATTGTCATGCTTAACCACTGTGACTTTTACAACTGCATGTTAGCTGGGGCACAGGAAATTACTGGAAACACTGTGAAGATGCCATTAAGCTCTGCCTGCTTCTTTGGAATCTTTAGAAGTTACAGAAAAGCGTCGCTGCGTCTGTCATTTCAAGCTCCTTATATTATACTAACTATACTATAATATACTGAGATGCCACTGTTAACAACATGAGGTTATTTTTAAACAAATTCTTGATAGAATCGTAAACTGTTACCAAGCAAGCATTTCTCTAGTGTCCACTTCATTATCAAGTAGAGGCCTAATAGGGTGTTCTGTAACCAGCAGAACCAATGCAAAAGCAGCGTTAGGGAGAGGGAACCAAATATTTCAACTTTCTAAGTTGCAGTCACGTTAAAGAGTCTTGTGAATGCTGAGCAGAGCCTTGAACAGCCATCCCCTCAGTGTGACCGGACCGCCCAGTGTGGGGACAATGCCTGCTGTGCTTGTCTTTCGGGTGTGGGGTGAATTCAGGATGGGAAGACCATGAGGAACATTTATAAAGAATACTAGATTTTTACATTTTTTAACCAACGTTTTAGAATTGTCTTGTCAATTACTTATTTAACCACTTTTTTTTTTTTTTTTTTTTTGCAACTTGTCAGGTTGTTTTGGTAAGCATTTGACTTAGTTCTCCTAGCAAAGATAACTTTCACACTCATGCTTCATCGGTTTGTCATATTTTAGTCACAATTTTACAATAATGAGCACAACTGGCATAAACAAGTTTGAGAATAAACGCAGTGACTTTGGTAAGCACACTAGTCTAACTGAAGGACAGAAACGGGGGTGCCAGAGAGTACCTACTAGCCCCAGGCATTCCCTTTGGCAAAGGCAACCATTGGTTAAAGGGTCCTTAATTAAGAGCGTTCTATAGAAATACATTTTCATTAACATGCATAGGTGGTAACTGTTAAAGAACATGTTTTGAAAAGTGATTTCTAGTCCAGGTGCTGCAGAACTTGCCTTCCTAGCAGCTACAGCTCACTTAGATCAGTGGCGTTGCCTGTGCACAGGTGGTGCTCTAAAGCGCTTCTCCCCTGCAGCCAGTTTACATTTTGGTACTATAATTGGTTTGTGCATCAGACTATTTATTTTCTTAGATGGGAAGAGATAATGTTTTGGTCCACTCCTTATCACACTTTTTACAATAATAATTTGGACTTTTAGTGAGTTTTTGTTCTATATATATATATATATATATATATATATATATATATTCAAGATCCTAAATATCTCTGTCAATGTCTTTAGATTTTTTTCTTTTCTCCTAAATACTAGTAGCAATAAAGCATACTATGCAAAGGATCATTTAAAAATACAAAATGAATAGATATTGTCCTATTAATAGATTTAGGACATTTTAGAGCTTAGAGACGGAGAGAAGCATGTGTGTGTGTGCATTATGTGTATTATACACACACACACACAGAGGCAGAGAGAGAAAGTCAGAGAGAGAAAGAGATAGGCAAAGCAAGAATGGGAGACAGAGTGATAGATATTATATTTATATTACATTGTATTAGATTACATTATAGTCACATACACATATGTATAAAGAGAAAGAGAGACAAAGGGATACAGAGACCAAGATAAGGAGACACCAAGATAGAGATATAGAGAGAAACTGAAAAGCAGACAGAAGCAGAGGAAAACAGATAACAGAGAGAAAGCACACACACAGAGAAAAAGAAACAAAGATACCATGCAAAAGAAGAAAAATGGAGAAATCTAGAGAGACAGAGAAAGGGCCACCTCAGTGATGTTGCTCAAAATTAGCTCCATCTCTGCCCTGTTTGACCCAAACTATAGAGTCACAGGTGTGGAAGTCAGAGGCCTTGGCGAAGCTGTGTTACTGACTAGGACGGCAAGGCAGGTCCAGGCACCATCTAGCGGTACAGTGTCACAACAGGCAATACCAGACCTATGAGTAAGTTGTAGCCTGGACAGTAATTAGATGGCTCTGCTCCACTTCTTCAGATCTATTAAATGTGTGGTTTTTGTTTCTTTTTTTTAGCTCTAAATATGTTTAAACATTTTTTTTTTTTTTGGCTGCAGAAAGGTATTGAAGGAAATCTCTGTTGGAGAACTCAATCCAAATGACACTGTGCAGGCCAATTTGGAGGCCCAGCTCCTTTCCAAGCTGGACCACCCAACTATTGTCAAGTTCCATGCAAGCTTTGTGGAGCAAGATAATTTCTGCATTATCACGGAGTACTGTGAGGTGAGAGTTTCCTTCTCTTATCAAAATTTTAATAAAATTTGTTTCATACAAAAAGGTATTTGTAAAGAGATGTCTCAGAAGCTCAATCAAACCACAAACTGAACTCATGACTTAGAGTTAAGAAGGATCATCTGTAGGTAATTGACAAATTTGTTTCTAATGAAGGGTTTCTGTCATTTGGAAAATTCAGAAGGAATATATTTTAAGAAGAAAGTGCTGTAGAAGAATGCTTCAATATCTTTGGGGGGGCATTCCCCAAACTTCTTACCATGGTGCAGTGTTTAGATGGACATTGAAATTCCATAATAGGGGCCTGGACAGAGCTGAGATACATCTCCTGAATTCTGGCTTTTAAGCCTATGTCTCATTTCCCCCAGTGAGAACTGGACATGGAAATCAGGCTCATTTTCTCCATAGAAATCCTTCATATTTATTGATTTGTGATTTATGGCTTCAGGTATTTGCATTTTCCCCTGCCACTCCACATTCACTTCACGGGATAATAGGCGGTGCATTTTACCGATCCCCAAGTGAGGATGAGGCTGCTAAGAAGGTACCAGAGGGGGAAGTTGACAAGGTACAGCTGTAATGTGTATCTGTGCATTTACTCTTGAGAGACTAGGTTGAGGGGAATTACAAGAGTTGGATCAGATCTAAGATGATGGAAGAGTATGTGGAAGCTACTACACTCACCTCCTCCCAGGACCAAAGTGGAATTACAACTGAAATAGAGCAATCTGAATAACCAACTGAAGACTAGCTTGAAGAGAAGTCTTATAACCAAGGATTTACAGAAGAAGCCACTTCGAGACTGGTAGGAAGGGCAGAGACTTGAAAGGGGTTGGCTCAGCTCACATGGGTGGCAGTGGAGATTCTGGAGGGATACCTCAGCTGCAAACATTCCCCCAAGAAGCATGGGGTCAAAGTCCCAAGCCGGGCTCCCCAGCCCAGAGCTGGAAATAGGTGTCTACCTAACATGTGGCTGTGAAAATTTGTGGAGATTCTGTCCACTAGGGAGAAAAGAAAGTCTGCTAGAGACACAGGCACCCTCTTAAAGGGCCAGTGCACAGCCTGGCTGCTGTGGCTCAGTGGGTGGAGCATTGTCCTCTGGACTGAGAGGTAATAGTTCCATTCCCGGTCAGGGCACATGCCCTGGTTGTGGGCTAGATTCCTCCAGCAGGGGGTGGAGAGAGCAGGAGGCAGCCGATTGATGTTTCTCTCTCACATCAATGTTTTTGTCTCTCCCTTTCTCTAAAAAAAAATCAATAAAAATACATTAATAAAAGAAAAAGGGCCAATGCACAAAATCTTGTTCACAGTCACTCACCCTGGGCTTCAGTGGAGAGAGGGTGGAGTGGTCTAGAGTCACATGAGGAGAGACTGGGGTTTGTGGGTCAGAGGAGAGAACTGAAGGGACAGCGACCAGGATCCCTGTGCTGAGTGATTCTCCCATACCACAGAGGCCATTTTTCTTGGGTGAAGCACCTCCCCCCCATACAGCATCAATTTAGGGGAGAGCAATAGCCCCACCTTCTGGACTCCCTGCAGCCCTACCCTGCAGAGGTTACGCCCTGCTGAGGGTCAGTTGCCTGGGTCAGGATGAAACCTATGTAATTTTATTAACCAATTTATCCCCAATAAATTCAATAAAAATTGAAACAGAAAAGTTGGATCAGCAAGAGAATACCCAAAGATGACATTGCTCAGACAATATCTCCCAGAACATTCTGAGAGCTAGCATTAACCAAATGTACCTTGGAAGAATTTAGTTCTATTCTCACTTTTGAATGTGTTTAGCTCATCACCTGCGCGTTGCTGGGACCAAAAAAGAATGGTGCTGAAAAAAAGAAGATGCTCCGTAGAGTGGAAGGCAGGCTTATTTTGGTCAGAAACTTTGGGGAACAAGAGGGTGCTGTGTATTTGAGACATAGAAAAGAAGAGGCAGGTGGAGAAGCAGCTCAAAGGGGTAGGGGTGACAACAAAAACCAACCCTGCTTGTGCTTTACACATTAGCCGATGTATCATCCAAAATGAAACCAATAGCCAGGTTAAAGTATGTGAAAATCTGAGGTATTCAATCTCCAAACAGGACATTTGGATGAGTACTTCTCCTTCATTCAGTGGATTGTTAAGAAAATCTATAAAATGATGGGTTGTTCAAAATGGTGATAATGAATAGGTAGTCTGGCAATTATGTCGCTAGTCCGTGCAAGACCACTATGACTCACATGCTATAATCCAATCATTTTCTTCCTTCAGCTCTGTTCAATAAATAAACTATCTTGTGTGTGAAACAACTGACTTCTAGTGCTTATGACTATTACCGCTTCCTCCATTGCTACTTTTGGCACTTTGAAATTTCCCGGCCTTAAACTTTTTCACTGTAGTCAGTACTGTCCAAAGGAACTTTCTGTGATGATGGAAATGTTCTATATTTGTGCTGTTTAACACAGTAGTCACTAGTCGCAAATGACTGCTTAGCACTTGAAGTATGGCTAGTGTGATTGAGGAACTCGATGTTAAATTTTATTTAATTTTAATTAGTTGAAATGTATATAACCATATGTAGCTAGTGGCTACTACTGTATTGGACAGATCTAGATGATAAGCTATAACTTTCCTTTCCTGCATTCATTACTTTAATTTTAATTTTAGCCTATCAGAAAAGTCACAAGAAAAACACAATGAACTCCCATTTACCCTTCATTCAGATTTCCCAACTATTATCTTTTTTCCAAATTTGTTTTTTTCATTCTGTTTATTCATTTTGTGTATCTTACTTTTCATGAATCTTTTGAAAGTAAGTTCAGACACAATGTCCCTTTGTCCTAAATGCTATTTTGTAAGACCGGATTGTAATTTTCCTATATAACTATAGTACAGTGATCAAAATCAGGAAATTAACATTGATACAGTGCCAGTATGTAATGCAGGGGTTCTCCCTCAAAAGTGTGATCCCACACTAGAAGCATCAGCATCACCTGGGAACTTGTTAGAAAAACATGTTCTCAGCCTGCACCCCAGCCTGGCTGTATCAGAGATTCTGAGGGTGGGATCTGTCAATCTGTGTTTTGAGAAGCCCACCAGGTGAGTCCGAAGCATAGTGAAGTTTGAGAAGTGCCCATCTAATCCACAATTCACATTTAAATTCAGCTTGTGTCCCAAATATGCCCTTAGAAAGGACATTTCTATAAGATTTTTTCTTGTGCAGAATCCAATCCAGGATAATCTGCGTTAATTTTAAAATGTGGGTGGTTTCCAGGGCCTGAGTTGCTCTCCGGGGAGGGGTGTTGCCATAGTGACAGCTGCTGGCAGGGCCTGGGGACAGCTGTAGGGCTTCCAGGGCTTCAGCTCTGAGCTGGTCAGGCTGTCTCTCCCTGCTCCGGAGGAATGCCTTGGGCGTCTCCCTCATCTTCAGACCCGAATTTGCTCTCAACTCGTACAGCCTTGTCCTCTTTTTATTGAGATAAAATAATAATACTGAAAAGGGCAGATGGCCAAACGTGCACCTCATAGGAAAATGCTTCACCATGGGAATACTTGGTCTTTTTGTTGCCAAGTTTCCTCTTCTGTAATTTAATTTAATAAATACATAAATGCATTCATGAGACTGCTGTATCCACGCAACCCCTTGGATATACCACATCAGGTTAGGAGTGTCAAAAGCAAACGACTGAATTTGCACAACTTCTTAAGATCTAACCAAATCTTTGAGGGGGAATAATAGTTCCAAAAACACCAAAGGGAGACAGTATTTCAGATATTGGTGTCTTCTAGTCTCCCCTGCCCAGGGGAGGTGGAACCACTTGCTGTCCCTGTCCATCCTTCAGAGTTTCCACGTCTTCATCTGTGCTTGGCCATTTCCTTTCAGAACGTCCTCCCTAGTCTCACATGTTCAAATCCTACCCATCCTCCCAGGCCCCGCTGAAATGCCTCCTCCTCTACAAAGATCTCCTGGCTGGAAATCATTCTCCACCCCATCACCCTCTCAGCATTTTATCTCTTGTGGCACTCAGCACTTTATACATAGTATAAACCATCTTAGTTCTCAACATATGGGATTGATCTTTTTCTGATTCATTTTTATGTCACATCATGGACCCATGTTGTGAGCCACAGAGAAATTAGTACTCAGGAAATTTCACTTTGTTTTTTCTGACAAATTTTTTACCACTTGCTTCCAGCTGTCTCCCATCGCATTTCTGTCAAATGCTGATGGTAAAAGATAAAAATACTACCTGTCACATATGTCAAAAGCATTTTGTCCTACTTTATTTTGCTGGTAGACCTAACAATGTACTGCACAGGAGACCTGTGAGACTTGCCTGAAGGTTTTCATTTGAGTTGGGATAAGGCATCCCCATAAGCTTGGGTGTTAAATTAGTAGACAAAAGAGAGACTAGGTGAGATCACATATCTTCAGGAGAAAGAGAGAATATATGACTATCAGGGCAAAAAGCAGGAAAGGTTGGACTTATCTGTTTCCTGCTTGCTGATATTAACATAGCTAAACAAAAATTATATCAATATAATGGCAGTGTTCATCCTTAACTACAAATGATAGTCACCAAGAGAGCTTTCAAAAATCCCAAGATCTGAGGTATACCTCCAGAAAGTCTGATTGAATTGATCTGGAGTAAGGTCCAGACATTAGGGTTTTTTTAAGCTGTTGGGGTTATTCTAATGAGCAGCCGAGTTAAGAATTGACCGAAAAGAGGAGGAGAATGGTTAGTGTGGGGACAGAAAAGTAGAGTCATAAAGGGAAACTTCATCAGTGTTTGTGGAGCACTGAGCCAAGATGGGCCCAGATCTGAGAACAGGAAAGTGTGGCCCGGTGGTGAGTGTGGTTTATCTCAGGCCACCTAGCTTGGTGCTAGTATGATGAAATTACCCAACTTGTTCTCCTTGCTCCCTGAGAAGCCTTCTCATCCCAAGTCAGCTCTCCACATATGTCTTTTCTAACAGGAAAAACTACAGACTAAACCAACATGAGCTCCCTG